ACCCTTCAAACCAAAACGCATTACTGCTTTACGGCATAAATAGGCAGGGTGGTGGTACCTACCTGTGCGGACTCACAAGAGGTCCTACCACCAGTAAGAGCTTGTTCGGATCTCGAATCCACAGCCCGTGGTATAGAAGTCGAGAGCACTAGCAACTATTTATTACAAATTAACTTAATAATTCAAAATCTTGTTCTATATTTCTTCCCATGTAAATAGTGTGAGAGAAGTGTGTACGTTGAAAATTTAAATAGATAATTAAAGAAAAACTTTTTAATTAAAAAAAATATATAATAGAATTAATTAATTAGTATATAATAGAATAGGTTTTTTGTTTTGTATGTTTTAAACCTAATTCAAATTGTATTGGTATCGAGCTATGTGACTCAATCCGAGCTGTGTGACAGGGCTCAATCCCAAAGGAAGATATAGGCCTATATTAAAAAAACGAACGTTCGTTCACAGACAACTTCTGTAATGGAACTTTCTCGGGGAATAGGAATTTTGTTGTATTGCGATGTGGGTCGCCCGTCTAGACCGTTAAGAATACTCTATTCAGAAGCTTTATTTGGAATAGTAGTATATTTATTTATATAAAATTATAGCGAACACAAGTGAGAAATTAATCTTATTACTCTAATATAATTAAGTGTATTATTATCTATGGAAACAATTAGTGGATTTTTGACAAGGATGCTCTTGCCAAATTATAATTTCGAAAATTCTGCCAAATTAAATTGTTTCAGTAGAAAATCTTGTTATAAAAATCAAAGACACATTTTTTATGGATTTTTAAATTTACGGTTTTTTTTATAGCATATTTGTATTGCGAAGATAGGTCAATGAGTGCATGATTCATCTGGTATAAAACGGGTACAGGAGGCATTAAAACGTGAATTTCATGACCCAACTTAAAACATGAGGTCGAATTTCCAATTGTATTTACGACTTTGCTACCCTCCAAACGGGAACATAAGACCGGTAAGGAACGGAAGCAGCTAAGATTGGTGATTGGTGGTACGTACCCGTGTGGACTTATAATACGCCCTACGATCAGTAAATGCCGGTTGGTAGCGCAGCATTCCGGTGTAATAATCTAAGAGCGCTGCTGAGCATTCAAGGCTAAGGAAACTACTAGGGGACTCAGGGAATCGCCTTTTAAGAGGACCGAGGAAATAAACGCGGTTGTGGTAGTGTAACACAACACAGCCAAACATTGAATACAAGGTTTTTGTGTTATTTATTGTAGGTTATCAGAGTCTGATCTAAGGGCACTAAACGGTTTTTTTAGTTAACTCAAATTTGTATGGAGTTGAAACAGCGCCTCTAGCGGCAAATGAAGGGAAGCTGTTCCAACTCCATACAAAGTTGAGTTAACTTTTACGCGATCGTGAAGTTACAAACTGGCACTAAGACTACAGGTGCGGCATGAACGTTGCCCGTCCAGTGCGAAATATTCAACTTATTAAACATTACGTTATCTTCGTGGTGCGTGAAAACGTATTGAATCAGCGACTCCCATTCCGCGTTGCAAAAGATGAGACACGCAACTTCTGTGACGTATTCGTAACGTTTTGGTTTTCTTAAAAGGAATAACCGATTGATACGATTTTATAGTTTTCCTTGTGACTTATATCTAATTATGGAAGTTTTAATTGGAGCAGATTTAATTGTGAATTCAAAAGCACCCTTGTTACGTCGAGGGCTTCAGAAAGCGACTGGAAGGATTAAAGAATTTAAAAAAAACAACGGTCTGAATTCGGATCCACACGGTCATGAGCGGTTTATGTCTTTTACGTTTCCGACGTGAAGGAGTGACTGCGACTATTTTCTATAACATGGGGCGACTATTTTAATGTTTGACTAATAAGGATTTAAGGAGATAATCTAAGGAGATAGGCTCAGGCATACAAACTAATGTTTGACTGCCTATCTTAGCCTATCAGGAGTAAGCTAGAATAGCTTATGAAGTTTGTAAACATGACTAATTAGTTTCACATCTTCGGTCCGCAATATTATTATTATCAGCACATATATAACTTTCTTTACTTCCCTCTCGTGAGCACCGGTGGCAGAGTTGAGCCCGCACGTGTTGTTACGACAGTCTTTCTTATATTTGTCGCGAAGTATTCATACGTGTAATGATCGTCTTTCTAAAATTAAGAATACAGAGATGTCCCAGCGTGGACTGCAGTATCAATGCAGCCGCATTTATGTACCATAATCATAAAACTCTGTGCACCAATAATTTAAATTGAAAAAATAAGAAAGCAAAGCTCCGTTTTATTGGAATGTCTCTTCTTTCCTTTAATCTGGAATCTGTGACTTCAATGAATAAGAGTCGTGTTTCCTTGGAGAATTACGAAGATTGTATTTCTATCTTGTTTATATGTCCTATAACCAGTATTTAATATATTTTAGGGTTTGGAGCTTAACTTGAAAATTAAAGTAAAAACAATATTACTATGGACGGTGAGGAGGTTGTAGCTTCTCGATGGCCAGATATCATCCACGTATCTTCTTCGCGAACTTGTGATTTCATCCAAGTGGCTTGTGATATCCAATTGACACATAATTTACTAATCCACGCCAACATTTTTACTTCACTATCAATTTCAAATTATTCAAAGAATGTGTCAAGACGATTATTTTAATTACATTTAGTCAAAAAACTTAATTACCTACTGCTAGTAATTCGTATCCTACCCTTGGCACGCTAATACAGTTTCTTTATACTTGATATAAATTGTATAAATAAAAAACCTACTCGTGCTTTAATGAAAGACCGAATGTTCTTGTTTCATTTTCAAAGACTGTCCAAATAACTTCGAATAACACTGAAGAATGACATAGGTCTAATCAAGACAACGTTCGAGAATCAATACTAATTCGGATGCATCAAAACGTTTTTATGTTTTGATTCTAATCAATGGATTTGTTATGATAACTAGCAAAATAATTGACATCATCTTTCTCTTGTTTTGGATCTATTGTTAAAAATATTCGTTCGTTAGGTGACCATTCTCAACCCTGGTAATGTCGACCGCTTATTTTCTGTTCGAAATTATTCATTTAGGATCGACTTATTTTTTGATGAAAGTGATTTAATTAACTATCTAATAAAATTCTACTTATCGTAACATGGAACGTTGAATTATTATTTTTATAAATTACAATTTAACTTTAATATTTTTAATTAATGAAAATTTGCAAGGCTTTTGAATGCCTTCCATTAAATTCAACCAGTCTAGCCGTCATCTACGAAATGATTATTTTAATTTGTACATAATATCATTTGGAGGCAAAAAGATCGAGCACCTACGCATACATTACTAGTATTTTTTATGCGTTGCGTTACTTGCATCTTTGTAAATCGCTTAACAAAGACTCGTAAATAAGATTGTTTTAGATTCGTAAAATGCACAACGGGTGACATTAGCGTTTTGACAGGCCAATCCACACTTTGGTCACGTTCAACTAAACGCATCAATTACAAGACGTGTTCTTTTTTTTTTGTCCGAATGCCAAACAATGATTTTTCACGACAATCGTAAAATTCAGAAAACAAATGCATCAGAATGGTAATGTGACTTTGAATCGCGTAGTTCATTCTGTTGATTGAAAACCTCAATATTTCTTTTTTTATCGGCATCGTTGCTGAGAGGCAAGTGAGAGCATTTCTTCGCTTTTGTCCATAAATATTCGGTTAGAATCCCTAGAATCGCAATTGAAAAAGTATGTGACACGCGAGATGTTCTGTTGAAATAATCTAGACTGAGATGAGGAATCCACTTCACGTAATGCGGGTGCATCCAGCTGTGGTGCAGTAAATAATGATAATAATAATGATTCGAAGTACAAGTAAAGTAGCTCTTTAATAATCTACGCCGATCCATATTCAAATGCATTAACTTAAGCATTATCGAAGTGTCAAATTTGTTCCCGCCTAAAGAAATTGCAAAATGAATTTCAAGAATGCAGTTTGAGAACTTGAAATATGTTTTTTTTTCTTTATATGTTTTTTATTGCCCTTGTAGGCAGACGAGCATACGGTCCACCTGATGGTGAGTGGTTACCGTCGCCCATGGACTTCAGCAATGCCAGGGGCAGAGCCAAGCCGCTGCCTACAAAGTATAATGATCTATTTCTTAGGTAAATTCAATAAGTGTGTTAAATTTATTTTACTGCTGTCTATGACTTCGGATGTTATGTCGCAAATTATTAGTTTTTCATTTTAAATACATGAATTTATTCCTTAATCGTGGAAGTCATTTGTAAGCATGTGTTTGTTTTTATACGTCACTAACTGAGGGAGACTTCGTAGTGCCTCAATCGACAAATAAAAGACGTAAAAGGAATCCGTCCGACGGGGGACACATCAAAGGGAAAACAAAATTGTTATTTTCATTTAATTCCGAGCATTTTCATATTTATTTACCTTTTAAACCTTCTCTGGACTTCCACAAATAATTCAAGACCAAAATTAGCCAAATCGGTCCAGCCGTTCTCGAGTTTTAGCGAGACTAACGAACAGCAATTAATTTGTATATAATATAGAAATTAGAAAAACGGTAGTTTCCTGCGGGATTCGAACACCGGCGTATTCGCGTCATTCAACCACTGTAGGTACACCAGAAGTCTTAATCTTTAATCCATGACGTCTTCAAAATCAACATTAAACCCATACTGTCTATAAAGTTATATTTAATTGACGTTTCGCAATCACGTTTCACATATCAAATGAAATGTACACGAAATTTGATACAGTGATATTCTTTTCTTACGATAAATATTAGCGAATATTCTCGAAATATCAATGCTCACAAAAGCCTTTTTCGATATTCTAAGGGTATAATGTGCCCTCAAACTTATCAGTGTAGCGACATCGCGGCATTCAATAGGTTATTTCTCACGTCGATGACGCGTTAGACCATTGAAAACGGACTGCTGAACATGTAAATGTGTAGTATTTAAACTGCTTCTGTCGAGGTACGAAGCATCAGTACTAAACTAATTAAATCTATTAAATAAATTTAATTTAGTGAACTAATATAACAATGAAGTACTTTGGTATTATAGCTGTATTCACCCTGGTGGTTATTAATGGTGAGTTAAAAAAAATTGATAGTTAATTGAAAATGGCAACATTAAAAAAGTATTTCATTATGAAGCTTTTAGAAATAACATTTTAAATAAAAAATGATTTATAAAAAAAATATATAAAAAAAGAAAATTACATATTAATTACCTACATTTTATACATAAATAACCTACAATATATCACATCCTCCGTAAAAATATTCACAGTTTGTATTTTTTTTTAAATATTAATTCGATTGTATTAGATTTCTACAGCAAATTAATTATACGTTCCGGTTTCGGTGGTAGGGTAGGTAACCATTATTAGAATGAAATCGAGACTTTTTTTCATCTCGAGGTAGAATCCGTTATCAGGTAACTATCAAATAAATTGGTACCCCGAACCTGTCCTAAAACAAACAAAAATTATTAACAGTATTAATAAAACTTTATTTTTCTACACCTTTTTTATATCTTTCTAATGCTTTTTTTTTTTATTATAACAACATGTATTTTGTGGGTAAAACTTAAAAATCCTATTTCGACAACCGTCGTTTAATTTATAAACGAAAATCGAAAAACAATACTTTAAATTTAAGGTTGAAATACTTTCTATTGTATGTACGTAAACGTGGTCACAGCATTCGTTAAATACACTTAATCTCTTTAATGCTGTTGATTTGAAGCATGCTAAAAACGTTGCTCCTTCCTTTCGATGCACGCTGGGTTTTAATAAACATCCGATCAGCACGCACTGTTGATTTCTTTACGCTCAAATATTATGAAGACTCGTATTTGCTATCGTATTTTGTCATTATATAATACCGTAAGGTCTCAGAAGGCTCCTAGAATAGAATTCTTTAGTTTGCACACGTGGTTATTGCCAAAAAACGAATAAAAAGACATTAAAAAATTATTCAGTCAGTGACTATGGTTCGTACACGGTTTTATTGCTGAGATACATTTCAGACAAGTTTGTAATTCTAATGCCAATGTTACATAAGACTTGAATAAAATATTTAAAGCACAGAACATACCATAAAAATAGTATGGGTTCGGTATTAATATTATACTTTTTTTACTTCTTAGGATTCTGTTGAAAATTGGCACGAAGCGCAGTCTTTTAAGGTTATTTTATTTAGTGCGCCTATCTGTTGAATTTTCGTGTCAATCTTGCAACCTCTGTAATTTATTAGGGACACTAATCTTAACAGAATACTGTAGTATATTTTAGATGGATCAAGTAAAGTAGTAGGTTGGTAGTAAGTAGTAGGTAATAAAATTGCGAACAGCTTCGTAATTTCGTTACGTAAAATTAGCTCTGGATAAATTTTATGCGTTTAATGCGATCCTATCTCAGTAAAGATATGGTTGTATTATATTTTACAAGCCTTATTAACATAACAGTAAGAAGTTGGGTGCCTATTACGAATACCATATGAAAGCTATACCTAATAATAAATAACATAGTGAATATTTTCGCCAGCTTATATGTATATTTTTTATATTGAGTTTTTTGTTTCAGTTTCAATTATGCATAGTGACAAATAATTCACTAATCTCATATTTTTTGTTTAAATATATGTCCGTTCATCTCGACTACAAAAACCTTTAGTGAATACCCATTACCTACCATAATATCAAAACATAGTGCTAAAATAGAATTAAATTACTAGAAGTATCAAAAATATAATAATAATAAAACTAATTCTTCATAATGTATACCTACTTGTTAATTCTGAATATCATTTAGTCGTTTCTTGTATACATAAAGGCAAGATATCCTTTGAACTGTTTATATAGCTCAGTAGCCGCACGACTTTAACTTGACCTCAAATATTAAATAAATTGGTTAATCTATGAAAAGGCCGTGGATATTTGCATTTTTTATATTAACGCATTATCGTGCGATCACTCTTTGCTTATTATGTAAGTAGAAAAGCATATTACGACCACTGTCATTATTAATATACCATAAAATCGATTTTTTTTTTAATTGTTTAGTTGGGTGGACGACCTCACAGCTCACCTGATGTTGATGGAGCCCATATACATGTACAACGTAAAAGCCGCCACCGACCTTGAGATATGAGTTCTAAGGTCTCAGTACCTATAGTTACAACGGCTGCCCCACCCTTCAAACCGAAAAGCATTACTGCTTCACGGCAGAAATAGACGGGGTAGTGGTACCCACCCGCGCGGACTCACAAGATGTCCTACCACCAGTAATTCTAATCAGACGACTTACATTCACATAATTTAATAGCAGCTACCTAAGCTACCTAAAAGCCTAGCACAGTAGCCTTCTTCGCGTTTAATGAAATAAAGTAAAAGTTTATATCATAAATAGTATGCTGCTGAAAATCTGTAACGACATTAGATAATTTTAATTAGAACAAGATACGACCCGAGATCGTGATCTAGTAGCCAGATATTTTTGATTGATAAGTAACATCATTAGATAAATGTGTGCGAAATTAAAGAACGATATCTGTAAAATTACACAATACGTGATTTTTTTTTTGTTTATAATATGAATATTTAATTATTGGTTTGTGATAAACCGTCACTATGTTATAGATTCTCGTGTTTTCTTTTTGTGTACCTTTGTCTTAGTCTTTGTGATGTAACATTTGACATATGACAGGCCATAAAAAAAAAAAATTTGAGAACGATTCATCGAACGAGGTTTGAAATAAAAGGTTCGTAAGGATACCTATTTGTATAGCGCAACAAAATGTTAGTTCGCCACGTAGATCTAACGAACCAGCCATTCAGCAAAGGGTTAAAGTATCTATTACAGCATTAAGTACCGTGAAATAACAACGTCGGTTAAACAACAATAACCAGTGAAAATAACTGTTATTTAATTTATAGAAATAAATACATATTTTCTTACATAATAATACGATTTAAAAATGTGTTTGCTTATGTTATTCGTGGAGGTTCAGCAAACGAATTTTCATTCTAACTCGATACTTACTATTGCCATAATGTGATTGTATTAACCAAGTTTTTGATGTATGACTTTTTATAAAATTAAGTATTGCCTTGTATCATGCGATAAAGAATAACTTCATACAAAGAACATTCCCGATCCTGCGGACCGAATGTAAAGCAGTCGACGTCGCCCAAAACACGTCATTTCGGATCCTTCCAATCCACTAACGGTGCTATTAGGTACCTCAAGCACCGATCATCGTTCTCGTCGAATCCGTCGCTTGCGACGAAGGGCTCGGCGAGTAAATTAACCCACAGACACAGCCCACTGAGTTTCTCACCGGATCTTCTCAGTAGGTCGCGGTTCCGATTCGGTGGTAAATTCTGCGAAGCACGGCTCTTGCTAGGGTTCGTGTTAGCAACTTCGTCAGGTTTGAGCCCCGCGAGCTCACCTACACGCTAGGGTGAAGCTGAAATAGCCTCTCAAGGCTATAAGCATAGGTCGAAAAAAACAACATACAAAGTAATTGACGGAGCTCATAGAACTAAAAAGCTGAAGACAGTGCAACATGCTGGTTGGTCACAAATGCTGTACAATAACTTTAGCAAAGGCGCTCTTGATTAGAAACAATTAATCTGCAAGCATCGTCGATCACTCCTGGGAAGGCCCACTGTATACGGTACGGTAGAAGATAGGCATAATATGCTATGCTCGTCTGCCTACAAGGGCAATACAAAAAAAATACAAAGACTTCATCGTAAGCATTCTGGGCTTCAATCCCTGTATTGTTTAAGCTCTACGAATAATGTAATCGAAATTTACTAATCTTAATGCCTGCTATAATGATTAAATGTCCCGACTTAAATAAAATATTCTAAAATAAATCGTAAAATGCTTTCGACTATTGCTCATGTTATGAATTCAATATAGGCAATAACCGATAAGTACTTTCGAAGTACATTTTAAAAAGTTTTATGTTTGTTTTAATGATCGGGATTATTGTTTACGCCGCTCATATTGTTGATAACCCACTGTAAGTCGTGACAACCGTAAACATTAGTGAAACAGTTTTTATTAGTAATATATTGTAAAAAAAATTGTTAAACAAAACGCATAAACAAATACAAAATCAAATAAACGCAATTAAAAACATAAAGCGCGCGAGGGCGCACGAGGCAATCTGTCTCGAAGGCGGCCGTCAGCTGTTTTGAGTAGCATTGAAATCATTACTATACAACTTACTGAAACAATATTTATTTATTTATTAGCTCACGAATATTGTTTTCCATAAGCCAGCTTTAATTTCGGAAACGGCATTTTATAATCTGAAGAAATAAAAAAAATAAAAAGCAAATGTGGTGTCGTGGGACACCAGGTAGGAACGAAGTTCCTTCGGCTAATGTAGAATCGACACAATTTGCAAAAAAAAAATCGTGCTCAATTTTATGTTGGTTTTCTTGATTTTTCTCTTAAATTTTGCTAATTAGTTTTTATTTAAGTACAGGAAAGTATTTAGGAAATTCAGTATTTTAGGAAATAATAAATTACGTAAAATAAAAATAAAATCGTAATTCAAATTATCAATTAAAATAACAAAATATGTCTCTTTATTTTTGTTTGACAACATAAAATTACATAGAAATAGAAATAATTACAAAATAGTGAGAGAAGGGATGAGAGAACGAAAAGAAAGAGGGAGAAAGAGAAAGGTATTATACACTACTCGCTCGTGTATACGACTGTCGCGCCTGCGCACGTCTCATTTAACGGTTTTATTCCACGCACTTTTTTCCACTGATTTTTTCTTAAGGTTTTACTATCACATTTTTTTCAGTTCGGTCGCGCAGCAAAATCCCTATCCCCTCCAAGCCTGCCGTAAGGAACTTCGTTCCAAAAAAAATACAATTTATGCACTTTTTGTTTTATTATTATTATTTACATTAAAAGATGTGACCATGACTGATTACGATGTACGACAATAAAATGCAGCAATTGTACAAACAAGGAATGCAATCAAGACGTTTTGTTATTTAGTAAACCGAACATAATATTTATAAATACATTTCTTTGCGGGTCTTATTTGGTTGTACACTATTCTAAATATAAAGAATAGGTTTTTTTTGTGAAAAAGGCATTAGGTTAGTTGAAAATTACTCTCACCACCTTCGATCAACAATAGTAACCTCACCACAAATTAATTTACAATGTTCTATACGAAGATATTTGTGAAGCATGTTGTATGTAATTGCTTCAATTCATTTGGGACAAGCAAGTTGAAGTGTCGTATTGTGCATAGGCTGTCCCTCTATTACAACCAACACGACTGCTATGCTTAAATTAGGCGGAATGTTGTTGCGCATTCAAAATAAACACATCAATAAACTCGAGTGCTCGTGGACCTGCCACCAATAGTAATTTTGTTAATCGTAATTAAAACTACTATCACGGTTTTATCTCGAGTTTTTTATTGTCATTAAATTATTTTCGGAAATACGAATACTAATAAACGGTTATTTACGTGGTAGCAGACGACTGAGTCGCCAATTGACATTAACAAAATGCGAGATCAAACCGTAGTTTTTATTATTGTTTACGACTGGCGAAAACTTAAGAAAATACTCTTTTGTCAATAACTTTAATTGCCTCTAATATTCCGTCAGGGGCACTAGGAATTTATCATAGCTATAAAAACAATTTTATAGTATTTTTCGTTTCCGTTTTCACTGCGTTCACGTATTATTCGTGTGATATAGCACGCTGATAATATATAGGACACTTGCACCCTGTAACAGCGTCCCTAGCGGCAAACGTTCCAACTCCATACAAATTGGAGTTAACTTTGACGCTATCGAGAACGTTAAAAAACTCGCACTAAGAACACTAGTTGTTTCCGACGTGAAAGTTAATTATATCTTCGACGAACATTGATACGTTTCAACAAAATTACTGTACTTATCTAGTTTTGTCTAGTTTGGTCCACTTAACTCTAAACTACTGGAGTAAAACAATTTTTATTGATACAGTTGAGACTTCGAGCTCATAACCCAAAGTTAGTTACGGCATTAAAGCTTTGATTTCCGTTGACTTGCATTACACTTGGTTCGGCGTGAAAATGTTTACCCAATAAACATCCAGACAATAAAAAATGTATGCTACATCGTCAAGAGTATTTATTTATATTAAATTCGTAGATAAGCTATGTATTAATAATTCTTTTTCTTTCAGTATCTGTGGCAGCAGGATGGGGATATCGGGCCTCCGACCAGAGACGTTGGGCGGTACTGCACCCTGCTTGTGGTGGCCGTCAGCAATCTCCCATAGCGATTTCAGCACGTCAAGCAATTCCTATCTCAATTCCAGCGATCGAACTCATTGGATACCAGAACCCTCTTCCTGGACCTTTAACGATCACTAATACGGGACATTCAGGTAAAGATTCAACGGTGCGACCGCTATGATGTTTCGCTTCGTTCACTTGAGATGCGTAAAGAACGGGTTGGCTTTTTTTTTATTGCTTAGATGAGAGGACGAGCTCACAGCCCACCTGGTGTTAAGTGGTCACTGGAGCCCATAGATATCTGCAACGTAAATGCGCCACCCACTTTGAGATATACCTACGTCCTAAGGTCTTAGTATAGTTATAATGGCTACCCCACCCTTCAAACCGAAACGCATTGCTGCTTCACGGCCGAAATAAGTCCATTAGCATCTCATTAGTCCGCTCGCGATCCATAGAATTATTGCGAGAGAACGCAGCTTTGAAAATGAGTACTTCCGTTTTTATGTTACAGGATTGGGTGAACGAGCTCACAACGTCCCTTATATTATGTAGCCCATAGACATCACAACGTGAGCGCCGCTATCCTCCAATCTCAAATTACACGACAAATATTTTAATATCACTTTTAATATGTATGAATTAATATTTGTTCAGGTAGTAACAAAAGGGTGCATTGAATTTCATGTCAAACAAATAAAAACATTTGAATTCTTCAAGAATAATTTGGCGAATGAAGACTTTTTCTCCGTTGATATCTTTGTTTACTAAGTCGTTATATATTTTTTCTAATTTCAGTGGCACTGACAATCCCCAAGTACACTTCGGAGGAGGAGAAGAAAGGATTCCGTCTACCTTACATCTTTGGAGGTCCCCTAGACAACGAGTATGAGATCGACGGTCTGCATTTCCACTGGGGTGACAAGAACAACAGAGGATCGGAGCACACATTGAACGATATGCGTCTTCCTTTGGAAATGCACATCATCCATAGGAATAAGAAATACAGAAACACCGCGGAAGCTATGCAGCACCCTGATGGCCTATGTGTGCTCGCGTTCTTCTATCAGGTTAGACAAATGTTTCTAATTTGGTTAAAAGTTTCTAATTTGGTTAAATTATAACAAGCCTAAATCCGGTCCTATATATGAGGATATGTGTAATAGTAGATCGAAATGTGTATTTTTGTGAAGTGTACTTTGTAATGATGTTAAATTTCGTTTTGAAACAAAAACAGATAATTTTGAATAATCAATCATCGATATCATTTCGCATGTATTATTATCTTTGCGAAGATATTTTACAAAAATGTACACTTTCGCAGAGGTTTGTTTTTAACTATAGCTAAAACTAGACAGCGCTTAATAGTTATGGAAGATGGAGAATCTCATATGATATCAAATGCCGTCTATTTTGTACTCTTTTCATTGATAGGTTCACACAAAAGTGATATAATTCAAACCTGTCACTAATACCGGTCCCGAGTTGCCCTTTCAAGATAAAGCTCTTTTTTTAAGGTGCAAGGTAATTGCGCATGAATACATACTCGTCCTGCTTTATATACGTTCTTGGTTCACTACTGGACATAGGTATTACCTAGATTTCGCCTTATTGGGCAGTTCCGCATTGCCCGCATTCAAGTTTTTTTTTTTTTTTTATTGCCTTTGTAGGCAGACGGGCATACGGCCCACCTGATGGTGAGTGGTTACCGTCGCCCATGGACTTCAGCAATGCCAGGGGCAGAGCCAAGCCGCTGCCTACCGCTAAACTACTTATGTCTCTTTTTTTTTCCTACCTAGCTGAGAGCCTTGAGAGGCTATTTCAGCGTAACCTTAACTAGTAGGTGAGCTCACGGGGCTCAAACCTGACGACGTTTCTAATACGAACCCTAGCAAGAGCCGTGCTTCGCAGAATCTACCATCGGAACGGAAGCGCGACCCACTGAGAAGATCCGGCGAGAAACTCAGTGGGCTGTGTCTGAGGGTTAATTTACTCGTGGAGCCCTTCGTCGCAAGCGACGGGTTCGACGAGTACGATGACCGGTATGTCACGAAGAAGTGACGGCTATGAAATTACAAAATACTTAACTTTCTAGGTTGTGGAATTCGATGCCAAGCTCTTAAGTCCTATCGTGAAGAACCTAACGGCCATCGAGAACTTCAACTCCACTCTGCAGCTGCCGCACACTTTCTCCCTGTCGTCAATCCTGTCTGGCTTGGACACCGAGAGGTTCTACACATACAAAGGATCATTGACCACTCCTCCCTGTGCTGAAGCCGTCACATGGGTGATCTTTTCTGACTACCTGCCGATTTCCGTGTTTCAAGTGAGTTATTCTTTTTATGATGTAATTAACCACGATCTAGGACTTTATTATTTCAACTAAAAAGACGTCGTACATCTGTATTTAAGAACGCTTACTTCTTTGAGCATATATAATAATTTAAACTATTTTCTTTCAGATGGATAATTTCCGTGGTCTTCTTTCCAATCTTAATTTGCCGTTAGTTGATAACTTCAGGCAGTTACAACCGTTGTTTGGTCGCCGTGTCTTCGTCCGAATCACATCAAAGAACCCGAAGTTCAAGAAGACCAAACTCCACTACTCCAAATGGGACTGGGTTGGACACAAGAAGTCCGAAAATGATGTCATCGACTTCGATGAATAAATATATAAGTATATCCAATAACAACTGATAAATAATACGGTACGGGTGTAACGCGTTTAAAATACCAATGATACCAAATAGTATTCGTTACTAATTATTTTTATTATGTGTGCACTGTATATTTGCGTGTAATGTAAGTAATATAGTGTGTAAGTTTTGTTAATGATCTATGAAAGATAAATAAATAAATATAAAATTACTTTAGTACTTTTATTCGATATGCGACAGACAGGTACAAAGTGTTGTTCATTAAGACTTGTATACAATGTATAATTAATTCTATTTTACAAAATTAGAATCTATGTGCTGTAGTTATCAGCTCCAAACATCGACTGAAATTAAAAATAACGAGTCAATAAAGCAATTAAATGGGAATTCTATCTTAGAACTTATAAAAATAATCACATACACATACATACGCATAATAACAGCAAGGCGCTTGTTAAGAAATTAATAGTCAAATAGGGTTGAATTAATTCAGCACAATAAAATATAGCACACAGTCTTACCTGTTCACTCAAGTTCCAAGCAGCAAAAACGCAAAAAGAACACAAAAATAAAACAAGTTTTCCATTTTACTTTTTTTAATCTATAATACAATTCAACAACTTTTATACAAGATTAATACTTTGTATTTGAATAATTTATTTATTCCATTATATTATATAGTTTTATTTAAATATGCTGGTTAAATATAACATTTGTTTTCTGGAATGTATTAAAAATGCTGGATATGAAAAAAATAAAACAATTGCACACTGAAAACTTTTGATAAATGTTGGATAAACATTAGTGGTTAGTTTATATCGAGACTGTGGCGTATTTACAATGCCAATCCGTCAACGGACATCAAAAACATGCAACATATTAGCATTAGCGTACCAAGTCGTCTGGGTTGAACATGCCCTGTAAATAAAACATAGAAAATGATTAATTAGTAATCATTTGAAAAGCAGGGATTTGTTATAAAAATAGTGATTTCATTTAAATTCCAAAGCCGCCTGAATTTTTTATTTAAACAAATTGAGTCGACTATTATCAAAGCCGGCAATCTGACTTTTGGACAATTATTGGTAAATCAGAAAAACGAATTATTGACTTTGTATTCCATTGGCAGTCACAAAACTCTTCGGAACGACATCTTAGATAAATAACAGGTTAACTATTAACCTTTATTTAATGCAGGTTTTGAACCATATTCTTTGAAGGAGACGATTATATTCAAATCAATCTGTATTGACATATCGATAACATTTTTTTGTCCAAATGCACAGATTGCCACCTTTGATAATAGACGACTCAATTGAGGACAATCTAAGTTTCTTTTTTAATTCAGAAGAATTGTGACTTAATTTATTTGAGATCAAATTTCTTTGGAAGTAAAAAATAGTTTATTTTTATCTTCTTCATTTACTGATTTTGTTTGCATTGACCTGTTCATTATGAAAACCTATACCCGATCCTGTAGACCGAATGGTAAACAGTCGACGTCACCCAAAACACGTCATTACGGATCCTCCCGATCCATTAATGGTGCTTTTAGGTACCACAAGCACCGGTTACCCTCCTCGTCGAACCCGTCGCTTGCGACGAAGGGCTCGACGAGCGAATTAACCCACAGATACAGCCCACTGCGTTTCTCGTCGGATCATCTCAGTAGGTCACGTTTCCGATTCGATGGTAGATTCTACGACACACTGCTCTTGCTAGGGTCAGTGTTAGCATCACTCCGGTTTGAGCCCCGTGAGCTCACCTGCTAGCTAAAACACAAATCGGGTTACCTTAGCACGACGTAGAATGGAGTCCTTGCTGGCATCATATGGGTGGTCTTTTGATGGGATTTCAAGAACAGAAGGTACTGGTGCAGAGTGCGCATCGATCACATGTCTGATCAACTCAGCAATGTTCTGATTGATGAGAATGATGTCAATGTCATCACGTTTAACAAAACGCTTGAAACATTCCTCGATTTCACTCACAGGTGTGTCTGCGGAATTTTAGCAAAACTTATTATTACTATGTCATGTTTCAAAAGATATTTATAACATAATCTTGTCGAGGTGACAATAATTTTCACCTTTACGGGATTGTACAATCAAGTCATTTAAACTTTTTTAACTCTTAATATAAGATTTTTTTCAGCTAATCTTTTATGAGCTGAGAACAAAATTGGGAGATTGATTTTTATGTGAATGTTAAATAGCTATGAGAAAACTAGGTCTTACAAACAAATTGTTTTAGTTTTTATTTGTTCATAAACATATATGTGATACCTGGCCGCACTTTATTTATAAAACTACCTGCAGAAGCTGTAAGTTGTTGAAGGTCCGAAATAAGATGATGGTTCTGATACAGGAACTTGGCTTGATACAATTTTGTGGGTGTGGTTGGTATGTATCAATCAATCAACCAGATGAATCGTTTAGGAAAACACTCAGAAAAAATTGCGTAGTTTATTCGCAGTTTATTCTGTGACTACATTTAATACTAAATGTTCACTTTCATTGATGTGACCAACAGCTCAAAGTTTCTAATAACTCACTATAAATAAGACTATAAATGTACTACGCAATGGTAATGTAGCTCTATTGATATATGGAACTGTGATAGGGTCCTATAATATTCATTAAAATAGTAAGTTCACTCACTCTTATCGACCACCATGAAATTCGGATGTCTGTTTTTATTGATCTCGCCGATACCCCCGAGAAGGAATCCGACGCATGTGTCCTGAAATCGCCAAAATTGAACTTATTATCGAAAATAAAATAGTACAACCGATTAAAAGAGTCAATGGACTACATTATATATAAGAATCAAAAATGTTCACAAATACCTCATCCCCGATAACACTAATTAATTTTCCCTTAACAGCTGCGTGAAGAGCCATATTTTTGGATTTAGTATAATTTTTCAAATTTATTTTTCAATGGTATTTTTTCTCACAAGGGCTCGTCACCTGACTCAATTTTGACGTTTATTTGGTACTATTGACAATGTTTGCTGTTTCTTTAGTTGGCAGCATTGGTACCAGTAGATTACTAATTTGTGATTGGCATTATAGTCATAGTCTGTGGTAATTAATAATTATGTTAGTTATTTTATAACATAATCTTCGGATGCATAAACTGACCTTTTTATATTTTTTTCATGAATCTACGAAACCAACAACTTTTTGCTAGGCAATAACTATTCTTTTTTAATAAACTTATGATAGTTTTACATACAGTAAGAAGGTAACTGTAAGAAGACCAGTTCTTACATAGTATTGTATTTTCTCTCGGAGCGCGTACAGACAGGCCTAACAAATACTATAGAACTATATTTTCATCAAGTAGTGTGTTGTCTGGTGCTTTTCATTAATCTTTGAGGGTATGGCCCAGTACATTTGGAGGTTTCAAGCGATCGTCTGAGCTTGAATTCACCGTAACATGGATCGGGATCGGGATCTTTCAAAAAGTTACCGAAAATCTCAGAAAGTAGTCAGTAATTTTATTTAAACCTTGATCTTATCTAGTTTCATTTAATTTTGTTCTAATTTATTACAGTCTTAAATAAATAAATTTCTCTTCATTTCGCTCCATGCTTACATTACGTCCTATGATATGTTTCTTTTGCTATTTCTATTAAAAAAAATGGAATTATTATTGAAACCAATGTCAAAATTGTCAATGAACAAATCAAACAAATACCTACCTACAAATGTTTTTATGAACTATTTTAATCGTGTTCATTTTTGTTTAAGAACATTAAAATAATTGATGAATTGTGACATCATCATCACTGTACATACTTCAATATAAAATTTTAATTATTAACAAAAATGCTCAATATAAAAAAATACGGCAGTAGTTCAGAGGATGAAAGTGATGATTCAGAAACAAACCAGTTCAGCAATGAAGCTCTCTTGACCCATCTTAAGCCTGTTGATCCAAGTTTGTCCGTGGCCAAGACCATGCAAGTATGTGCTGCTCCAGCTGTGGTGCCTACGGTACGTAACATAAACACATCAATTTTAAAATTCTCATTTGAGAAATTTTGTCTTTGCTGTTTGTTTTAAGTTCATTACCTTTCATCATTTCAATGTGTAAGACCAACAAAGAAATATATTCAGGGACCCAGTAGCACTTAAACCAACATCTAAGTTGCAATTTGAGGTTATATTTTGTGTTTATCAACATTAAGGATATAAAGTTAAGACTTCAATTCGAGAAAATAATGAATTTATTTATTTTATACTTATCGAAATACCCATTTGAAACTTTAAATTCTATGCAAAATTTCAAAGATTTTTAAACAAAGATTTTAACAAATAACAACTTAACATCATACATAATCATTGTATTTTATTGAGACCAAGGCTTTGCTTTGTCCTACTGGCATTACCGACATCCGTGAGTAATAACAACTTCTTACATTAGCAAAGAAATTGCATTAATTTAAATATTATTTACTTTTAAATTGAAATTTATTGAAATTTCGATTTTTTAACTTTAGAATGAAGATGACACTAGAGTTTTAATACCAGCAAATGCAAAAGAGTTAACACACAATCCAAAGTATGAGGAGCTGTTTGCACCTGCTTTCGGACCAGAGAATCCATTTCAAACACAGCAAATGAAGGCAACGAGAAACATACTATCTGGCTATGTAGAATTGGCACATATTAGCGATTTTCAGTTTGAGAATCAACGAAGAACATTTACGAGTTATGGTTATGCTGTAGATCCTTCTACAAATGTTGAGGAGCAAGAAGGAGATGCTATAGTGAGTAAGTATCACATTAATTTACTAATCTATATAAAAATACAGATTATTGCTTTGTAAGGCTTAATTTTTGAGGTATTGGCAAATGATCATGATTATACTTTTATTTTGAATTTAAAATTAGTAGCAGATATAAACTTTAGTAGGAAATCTTGTCACTTTATCTATCTTTCATATTAAACTTACAAAAACAACAGTGAATGAAATCTTCAAAATTTTCTTTCAGAATCTGCTATGATAGACCCTAAAGAAGATACAGAAGGCAAATCAGTTTTTGAAACAATAAAAAAGCGACCCCTAGACAAAAAGAAGAGAACCAAAAATGACAATCCTGAAGACATTAATGGATTTCTAGGACCCTGGGGAGGTTTTGAAGGAGAACAGAGGTTCGTAAATATTGTTTCACGAATAAAGAATCATCTTGTTTATTACATAGGCTTGCAAGAAGTTATCCATCCATCCCGTTGACCAAATTCAAATCAAAATTATTTCAACCCAAAGGGTACAATAACTGGTTTAGAAATTTCAAAAAACTATTATTCTACCATTGGTTCCGATACTAGCAACAATCTTGAGAAGAATTGATGAAGCAAACTACTCAGGCTTGTATTTTTATCACTTATTTTATATTTTTTCAAATGCATGTTCCTAGTCTGATAATAGAAGCAGTATATCATCTTGTATACTAGTGTGCATGAAAAATCACCATCATTTTGATTCAATCCAAACATTTGGATTCATCAACCCTGGTGGCAGTTATTTACATTTACTTTTAATTTATTTATTTTAAACTAAAAAATATTTTTTACAGAAATAAGTGTAAATAGTGAAATTATGGCATTTGAACTAGATCTTCTTCATCAAAAAATGTCATCTAATTATACACAATAGAAAAGTTATAGAAACGGCTATAGACCACAATAGGATATCGTTGTTAACTTAAGAATCCTTGCGAGATAAATTTGCAATTTTACATCAGAAATAAAATATGTTTTTTTTTTTTGCTTAGATGGAGGGAAAATATCTTCTATATAAATGTGTATATCTTCTAAGGATTTTCTCAGACATATGTCAAGCTTCCTTAAATAATGATATACCATAGATAGGTACTACGAAATTTTACTTGGCCAGTATTTTTTAGAAAACGATGATATTTATACATATAGTGTCAAAAAAACCAACAAAAAGTAATAAATATTTAATTAATCATTCTACAGAAATGTAAGCCATATTTCCAAACCTCACTCAGTTTTTCATTATAATATTATGAAACTCTTCTGAAACTGGTGTTTTTTGAGAAAAGCTGACAGAAAAAAGATGTCAGTTATCAAAGGAAAAATATCAATAAATGCAGTCAGCATAAATGGCAAGAATTACAATCAACCAACATCTTTATTTTTGCCATGCTTTGTCATGATAGGTGTATTGTTCACTCATAAAATCGTCTTTTATTTTGTCAGGATAATGAAGCCGGAAGGCGATGAAGCAAAAGAATTAGAAGAGATTTTAGCTAAGAGACAGAAGAAAGGAAAAGTTGATGATGATAAACCTTTGGAAGAGAGATCTATATTACACAGTAAGTTTTGTGTGTTAACATCTTTTTTTTATTACCGAGATGGGTGCTTATAGTATTTTCAATTGATACCTTTATCGCATTGGATGTAGGTTCTGTTTTGTTTGTGTCTAACAGCCAAAAAATTATAAATGGCATATTTTATTCTAAATTAGTATAGTTTCTATTATTTCCTACTTTATGAAAATAATTAAGGTATTAACTACTTTAAATAAAATTTGAAAAACTTAACCACTTACTGGTGGTAGGACCTCTTGTGAGTCCGCACGGGTAGGTACCACCACCCCGCCTATTTCTGCCGTGAAGCAGTAATGCGTTTCGGTTTGAAGGGTGAGGCAGCCGTTGTAACTATACTGAGACCTTAGAGCTTATATCTCAAGGTGGGTGGCGCATTTACGTTGTAGATGTCTATGGGCTCCAGTAACCACTTAACACCAGGTGGGCTGTGAGCTCGTCCACCCATCTAAATATGAGAGACAATTTTTGACAAGGCATTATTTCTCTTTTTTTATTTGTACTGAACTGAAGAACGAAAATTATCTTATAATGAAAAGGTTTTACAAGAGACAGAGTAGGCTCCTGTTAATTCTGAGTGTGGAAATCTGACGGAGGACACATCCCCTTGTTTGAGTCCCAGCCAGTGATGAGATGGGCTTGATGCAGCACCTAGGCCCTGTTTATCGCACCGCCCTTAATTTGAAGCCGCCCTTAGAATAAATTTATATTTTTATATAATTAATTTTGATCCAATATTTTTATTTGAAATTTAAAATAACTTTTTTTTTTTAATAAGTTTGAAATTATTTTCAAAGGAAATCTTTACTTTCTTCTCTGAAATTTTGGCGTTTCAAAAAATTTCCCGCCTCACAAATCATGCCGCCTTAGGCATGAGGCCCAGGTGTAAATCCATAAAGCTGCTTTCAGACTAGGTAAATAGTATATGCTATAATAGCATATAGTATTTTTCAAACACGTTTGTGATAATATTATTTTGATGTTACAGTTGACAAGGTCACCGATTATCAGGGTCGGTCTTGGATCGAGGCGCCCCGAAGCGAAACACAACTGCGAAGCGAGTCACCTCCCGACAAATGTTTCCTACCGAAGGTAAATTTTTATTTATTACATATTATAGGTAGGTGGTAGGTATATTTATAGGTAGGTAGTAGGTATATTTATAGGTAGGTGGACGAGCTCACAGCCCATCTAATCAAATCATATCAAATCAAATCAAAATTTTTTTATTCAACATAAATGAAAGTACATATTTGTTGAACGTCAAAAGAACTACCGCCAATTCACAAGAACTAGCTTCCGTCCTGAGAAGAATTGGCAAGAAACTCAGCGGGCATGCTTTTTTTTTTAATATTAGTTTTTTTTTTTAATATCAGTTTTTTGTTAAATATTCATGTTCATTAACATTCATTGGGCTCTATGGGCTCTAGTAACCACTAACATTCATTCATAATGTTAGTGGTTACTAGAGCCCATAGATATCTACAACGTAAATGCGCCACCCACCTTTAGATATGAGTTCTAAGGTCTCAACATAGTCTCAACAACGGCTGCCCCACTCTTCAAACCGAAACGCGTTACGGCGTTAAGGCTGAGATAGGCAGGGTGGTGGTACCTACCCGTGCGGACTCACAAGGACTTACCACCAGTAATTACGCAAATTATAATTTTGCGGGTTTGACTTTTATTACACGATGTTATTCCTTCACTGTGGAAGTCAATCGAAAACATTTGTTAAGTACGTATTTCATCAGAAAAATTGGTACCCGCCTGCGGGATTCTAACACCGATACATCTTATCTTATAGGCCACGAGACTTCAATAAAAGCTCAATAAAAGTACTCCAATATAAAAGAAGGCACTAGCCATATTTTTTGGTTCATAGAAAGCTTTCCAATATTTTTTTGGATAAGTGTAATAAGGGTTTGTTTAGGTCTAGCCTTCCGCTAACTTCGTCTGTGCGGACTAAAGGATAAGGCGCCCGGTACACTCATATCGACCGATGCGACCGTGCCGGTGTTCGAATCCCGCAGATAGGTACTAATTTTTCTAAATAACAATACGTACTCAACAAATGTTCACGAATGACTTTCAGCTAAAATCAAACCCGGAAAAGATAGAAGTTAGAATTTGCGTTATGAGCTCGGACGGGTAGGTACCAACTCCCTGCTTATTTCTGCTGCAACTGCTATGCTATAGAACTGACACTTGAACTCATGTTTCAAGGTGGATGACGGCATTTGTGTTGTTGATGTCTATGGGCCCCGAAAACCTCTTAACACCAGATGGGTCGAGAGTTCGTTCACCCGTCATTCTTGTGTGAAGTGATATAAAAATAGCAAGCAACGTGGTTTTTTTAAGGAATTTTATGACCTGGTAACTAAGACCTTTAAGTCATGTCTTATTTTAATATATATTCTTAATTTATGAAAAATAGTAATATGGAGTGAAATGAAATGAAACGAAGATGATTAATTTGAGACATTAATCAAATGGCATGAAATTAAATGAAATGGGACGATATAGGTTGACTGGTAGAGAATGCCTTAGGCATTAAGTCCAACAATGTAAATTTTACATGAAGTGTAATAAATAAACAAATAAATAAATAGACAAAATAAAATAAATCACACAACTTCACTCCTCGCGTTCCCGCCAAAAAGTCGCAAGCAACGTGGTGGTGTGTTCGCTGCATAGAGTAGCGTAAGTACCGACTTATAATAGTTACATATGTCCAGGCGCACATATTCACGTGGAAGGGGCACACGAAGGGCGTGGCGGCGGCGCGCTGGTTCCCCTCGACGGCGCATCTCATGCTCTCCGCCGGCATGGACTGCAGGGTCAAGGTGACTATATACATATAATACAATATAGCTATATCTATACTCTATACTAATATATAAATCTACAGCGGTTTTTATGGATGTTCCGTTATAACTACTAAACCGTGCATCCGATTGATTTGAAACTTGGTATCGATGTAGAAAATACATGTAATGAATGGATAGGCTAATATTTATATGAGTGTTGGACTCCCTACACCAGTTTTGGGGGCGTTAATGATGAGAATGTTTGTCGGGGTGAGAAATAATAATGTTAATTTTAAATGCCCAGCGAAGCGGACGGGTACAGCTAGTATAATATAATTCAGCGGCTCCTAACCTGTGGTAAGTTTAGTCCACTGAGCTCCTCGCCGGATCTTTTCAGTAGGTCGTGTTTCCGATCCGGTGGTAGATTCTGCGAAGCACTGCTCTTGCTAGGGCCAGTGTTAGCAACACTCCGGTTTGAGCCCCGTGAGCTCACTTACACGTCAAGGAGAAGCTGAAATAGTCTCTCAAGGCTATCAGCATAGATAGGAATAAAAAAAAAAGTGGTACGTGAACCTCGGGGATGTGACGGAAATACTGAGGAATTCAAACAGCTGAGTTTTATATAAGTAAAGAAAAACCTTTTTTATGTAAAACTTTTGAAACTTTTTAGTTTAAAAAAAAAGATCTTTCTTAGATAGATTCACTGAACCGTCTTTCATTAAGAAAAACTAATAATTTAAAAAGGAACTTATAGACTTTAAATGTTGTTTTCTTATTATTATACAGAAAACGCAATTCTTTTAGTATTGTTCAATCATTTTTGAATATTCCATATCATTATAATATGTACATAATTTTTTTATTTCCCTACCTAATCAATTTTTTTATTTCCCTACCTAATCGTTGGTAAGCTAAAGAGCTATTCATATGAGAAACAAACGAAACAAAAGCATGTTTGTAAATATGAGTAGAATTTGATTGATTTAAAATATCGTGAGACCGTAACGTAACTAAAATCAGAATTAGACATTAAGTTGTTATTTCGCGAATTTCTCCAAACATTGATTCTCCAAAATGGCACTTACCACACAAAACATACGAATCATTGTCAAACTCTCACCCAAGAATCTCTAAATGTTTATGTAAAATTGTATGTATGTAGGAACGGAACGGAGCGATATGGATGAATGACAGATGTGGAGCATGACTGAGTGAGAGAGATAGGAGATGTCGTGTTAGGAAGTAAGAAAGGCGGCGAATGAATGCGGAAAACCTAGTTTTATTTAATAAGCAACAGGAGAGTAGTTTCCGGACGCGACGACGCTCAGACCAATGAAGTAGGAAACCTATGGAAATGAAACGTCAACCAAAATTTCGTGCCACTGTGACGTCATCTGGCCACAAAACATGGCGGCTTTAGTGCTGTACAAAAGATTTCAATGTTATCAGGTTTTATCGATAAACGTTCTTGGCTCATTTTATTTTAAATATTGTTGAGTATTATTTATTTGTAGAATTTATACTTTAATGGGAAGTAAGTAGGTATATTGTTATGTGCAAATATGATATGATTTAGATGGGTGAAATCTAAGACAAGTTCGTCCTTCGAATTTGCCAAGTAAACGATATGATGATTTTTAAAAGTTGCTACACTGATTTTATAAAGTTGTCGTTTGTCGCAAAACATAAAGATATGGCGTAGTTCAAAGCCATCAGCCCATTTCTAGCATGCTAAATGTTATCGTATTTTGAGTACGTGTTTTTCTTAGACTATTACAATCTATTTTAATTGTTTTGCTGACTCTAAAGTCCGTAACATACTACCGCAGCGCACCCCAAGGAAGGTGCGCCGCACCATTTGAATCACTTTCGCTTGAGAGTGATTCAAATTTTAAACTTATCAAGGGACCGCGTGAAAAAAAAAACACCTACAGAACATTTATTCATTAATTACAAACGTCATTCCTTGTGACTTCCTCTCTAAAATCACTTAATTATTAAATATTTAACAAATTTACAATAGTGTTTTACTCACTGCGGAATAAAACTATTTTATTTAAATAGTTCCGAAGAGATTTTGTCGGTAGCCTTTTTCCCGAAATATCTAAACAGAATGTCTAAATATGTTTTGATGACATATTTTAAAGTGGTATTTATGATTAGTGTCATGATCAATAGATTCCGACCGAAAAATGGATTTTTCGGATGAGGGCTCCATAATGAATTTAAATACATATAGATAATAGTTTTAGGACATCGACTTTCTTGAGATCCTATAAAATACGTTTTAATTATTATTTTTGTATGTTTTAAGCATGATAAATTATGAAATTTTATATAATCAATCATATTAAATCGATATCATAGTCAATAAATAATGTACAACCCAAAACAGACGGCCGAACTGACGTGACAATGACATTTGGCGCGCAAAACATGGCGGATTTTCGGCCTCATTAGACGGAGACGGAGATATTTACGTATATTCATGTTTCATTTTAGGTACGCACTGAAATACTGTTATATTGTTTTCCTGCGAGTTAAAGTGCTGAGTAAGAAAGAGATAGATATATGTTTATGTATGTGCCTTCAAAATGGGTGCTATTTATATAAGCAATTGTACGTATAGAACAATATGTCGTGTCCCTACTATATAGGTCTATGGCTCAGACGCAGTGTAACCCGGAAGGCGAAAGACGTTTATAGTGGAGTTACATAATATAATAAGCCACTTTGATAAAGCGGCACGACATGAGAACCCTCTCATCGTGGCCGCCGGTAACTACATTCCCGATCCTGCGGACAGAATGGAAAGCAGTCGACATCGCCCCAAACACGTCATTTCGGATCCTCCCGATCCACTAACGGTGCTTTTAGGTACCTCAAGCACCGGTCACCGTTCTCGTCGAACCCGTCGCTTGCGACGAAGGGCTCGACGAGTAAATTAACCCTCAGACACAGCCCACTGAGTTTCTCGCCGGATATTCTCAGTGGGTCGCGTTTCCGATCCGGATTCTGCGAAGCACGGCTCTTGCTAGGGTTCGTGTTAGCAACGTCGTCAGGTTTGAGTCCCGTGAGCTCACCTACTAGTTAAGGTTACGCTGACATAGCCTCCCAAGGCTCTCAGCTTAGGTAGGAAAATAAGATGAAGAAATAAAGCATCAAGTTTTTGTGAAGTAATCGAGAGTTTCACTGGCCTACCCCGAATTGAAAATCCCACATGTATAAATTATGTGTTACTGATAGTATGTGTAAACTTTACCATTTTGACAGATATGGGAGGTGTACGGTGACCGTCGCTGCATCAGGACGTACTTCGGGCACCGGCAGGCCGTCCGGGACGTCAACTTCAACAATTCCGGGAAACAGTTTCTGTCGGCTGGTAACATTTCTTTTATTAACCCATTTCGCGGAAACGCGAGGAGTGAAGTTATGCGATTTGTTTTATTTTGTCTATTTAGTGTTTCTTCAGGTTTATGTGTGTATAATAACAGTGGTTTATTAACTGTTTAATATCTGTGAAAGTGCACAAATGTGGGAAAATGAAACTAAAGCCGCTGGACGTAATTTCTCGGGATCGTTCAAAACGTCCACTGAGAAAGTTCAGTAAATGACCACCATTTTACTGAGATTATACTTCATCCCATATCATCTCGTTTCATTTCATAATATTATTCTTCATACAAAAAAGTTATCATTAAAATTAGACTTGACCTAAAGGTCTTAGTTACCAGGTCATAAAATCCCTTAAAAAAATAAAACAATAACCCATTTCGATTAACTTGAGCAATTGGTTTAAGCGACCGTGAGAATGACAATGTCAATGTCGTGGGAAAGGCAATGTCAATGTCGTGGGAATGACAATGTCAATGTCAGGAATGTAGATATAATCATACTTATCATGAAAATGTCGCTAGCGCGATTCAGGCACCCGTCATATATCTCTAACATCTAAAGTGTAGTCTTGGCGAAATCTGTGATCATAAAAGTATAATATTCGACAATAGAATCATAACAATGTACAAACTTATAATTTCAATTAATTTAAGTCGAATTTCGACTACCGCTAAGACCATTAGTTAACAGGAATCGACGTAATTACTTCAATGCGCCGCGTAGGGCACCGGTGACCTACAAGTCAGTCAAAAGGTTAATGGATATAATAGAGTGGTGTGGTTGCAGCGTACGACCGGTACATAAAGCTGTGGGACACGGAGTCGGGCGCGTGCGTGTCCCGGTTCACGTCCCGGAAGGTGCCCTACTGCGCCAAGTTCCACCCGGACGCCGACAAACAGCACCTGTTCGTCGCCGGCACCTCCGACAAGAAGATCATATGCGTGAGTCACCCTGAGCATCATCATCCCGGTAACCGAACCCGTCGAACTCGACATAGAGGTCGACGTGCAACAACCTAACCCATGCATCAGCCCGCTGAGTTTCTCGCCGGATCTTCTCAGCGAGTCGCGATTCCGATCCGGTGGTAGATTCATTCGCGAAACAGTAGCTCTTGAGTTGTTAAGTCTCCTTCGGAGGCGCTCGGGCAGTTGTTAGCAAATCCCACCCCTCCTGGCTGAGCCTTTGCTCGCCCACCTGTCCTGGTGAAACTGGAAAGCCCCTCGGGCCACCAGTAATACTTCAATCATAAGCATCATCATCATAGTCGGCTCCTCTCGGCAGAGCTGTCGTGGTCATATGTGATCCTTGGAAGCCTTGACAGCTGTTTTATTTTTATTTTACTGCTTAGATGGATGGATGAGCTCACAGCCCACCTGGTGTTAAGTGGTTACTAGAGCCCATAGACATTTACAACGTAAATGCGCCACCCACCTTGAGATATACGTTCTAAGATCTCAAGTATAGCTACAACGACTGCCCCGCCCTTCAAACCGAAACGCATTACTGCTTCACGGCAGAAATAGGCAGGGTGGTGGTACCTACCCGCGCGGACTCACAAGTGGTCCTACCACCAGTAAAAAGCTGTAAAAAGTAAAAAACTATTCTACATAGTTCGCCAACTGAGGCTTAGAGCATGCACTCGTTAAGTGGGGTTCTGGTAAGGTCTTTCACTTGAACAGTCCAGCGCATGGGGGGGGCCTTATCCATGGAATCTTTTACCATACAAAAAGTTTCTCTATAGACTCCGCTGGCCCAGACAGTACCCCGCATACGCGTACCAAAAAACGCCTGCTAAGGAATGCTGTGTATAAGAAAACCGACCTAGCTCGCTTTGTCCTTTCCCTCTCTCCACGGTCAAATGGTTCCCGAGACGCTCTGTCTATTTTCTCACTCTTGTTCGTCCTAAATTGTATCTTTTCTCTCCAGCCGTAACGAATCTGTCGCGAGTTAAATTTTACGGACACCAGACACCGTGGCGCACCAGCCGCTTAAATATATGATGTTGACGCCTATTGGTATTTAAATACTTGAAGTGGTCGTAACTAAAGGGAATACCGGTTCAAAGGGTGGAGCAACCGTTGTACTATATAATTGAGACTTGGACCTTCATATCTCAAAGTTCTATGGGCTTCGATAATCACTTGACACCATGCCGGCTAAGCGACAAAAGCGTGTTTTTTTTGCAACAGTGGGACGTTCGGAGTGGCGAAATAGTCCAAGAGTACGACAGGCATCTCGGCGCGGTCAACACCATCACCTTCGTCGATGAGAACAGGAGATTCGTGACCACGTCCGACGACAAGAGTCTGCGGGTCTGGGAATGGTGAGTACCACCATAAAAATGTTTATTTGGCGTCTGTAGAAAAACTATGGTAGGCAGCGGCTTTGCTGTATTCCTAGCATTGCTGACGTCCATGGGCGACGGTATCCACTAACCATCAGGTGGGCCGTATGCTCATATTTATTTATTGCATAGATGGGTGGACGAGCTCATAGCCCACTTGGTGTTAAGTGGTTACCGGAGCCCATAGAACGTCTATAACGTAGATGCCGCCACCCACCTTGAGATATAAGTTCTAAGGTCTCATTATAGTTACAAGGGCTGCCCCACCCTACAAACCGAAACGCATTACTTCTTCACGGCAGGGTGGTGGTATCTACCCGTGCGGACTCACAAGAGTTCCTACCGCTAGTAAAGAAGTTTCATCAATAATCCATTCAGTAGTTTTTGCGGGAAAAATCAACACCCATACCTTAGGTATGTATGGATATCTTCCTATTCGTACACTCTTGATAGAGTGGTCGTGGTCCTGCATCAGTCGGATCCTGCGATACCGATGCTCTCGCGATGCGACGCCATGTCCCACGAGAGTAATGAGGTTGAGCCTTCATGACGTCATGCCCGTGATGCCCAGGGACATCCCGGTGGACATGAAGTACATCGCGGACCCGACGATGCACTCCCTGCCGGCCGTCACCGCCGCGCCCAACGGCAAGTGGCTCGCGTGCCAGTCCATGGACAACAAGGTCATCGTGTTCAGCGCGCTCAACCGCTTCAAGATGAACAGGAAGAAGACGTTCACCGGGCACATGGTGGCCGGGTACGCCTGCACCGTGGACTTCTCCCCGGACATGAGGTAACTGCGCTGCTAGAACCGACACAGATCCTCCACAGATCCTTCATCTCTTTCTAGCGCGATAGAAAGAGACAGAAACTTCTCCCCTTAAATTTTTTCGTTATTGCCTAGACGGACGAACGAGCTTATAACCCACCTGGTGTTAAGTGGTTACTGGAGCGGCGGTGGTACCTACCCGCGCGGACTCACAAGAGGCCCTACCACCAGTAAGACGCGAGGTAACGCTGCTAGAACTGACACAGATCCTTCATCTCTTTCTGGCACAATAGAAAGAGACAGAAACTTGTCGAAGGAACATTCGATATGTTATTAACACGACTATGATGGTGTTGTTATGTTTTTGGCGATATGTTATTAACATGAGGTGATGGTATTTTTTATCGCAATAAGCTCACGGCTTGCCTGGTATTATATGATCACCGGAGTCCGTAGAGATCACAGTATGAATTCTGTCCCTAAGTTTCTCGCCGAATCTTCTCCTCAGTGGGTCGCGATTCCGATCCGGTGGTAGATTCGGTAAAGCACTGCTCTTGTTAAAGACTGAGAGAATTAATGACACTGCTCCTTAGGGCCAGTTTGAACCCGTGACTAGTTGGAATAACCTCTTAGGCTACCAACGATTAGGCAGGGGAAAAAACGTCTCCAATCTTATAAAATAAGGTTCAAATTTCAATAACGAATCCGGTATCGTGATACACTAATCGCTATCATTCTAACCACAAAATCATTAGATGCTATTTTTATCCTTTAGTTTGAATTATATTTTCGTAGTACATGAATTTCGCAGAGTCATCTAATTGATAATATTTGTTTATATATGTATATATTTATGTATATCTATATATTTATGCATATGTATTTATTTAAGTACGAGTATTTGTATCTATAAATATTATGTATGTTATATATACACATATGTTTAAGTAATATCACCTTCACACTACACCTAACAAGCTTCATCTCTGCACTCCTCAGACTGTTAGAGAATGCCTATGGCATTAAGTCCGCCTTTATACTTTCTAGTTTAAGAAGTTATAAATAAAAAATAAAAAAATAATTTCTCAGAAATTGACTTTGTCGTGTAATTAACAATACAAAAACGTTTAATTCAAAAATTGAATAATGAATTTCGGTTAATAAAGACCATTAAAACGCGATTATTTGCTTTCGTTTGACGTCAAATATTTTGAATGTTTAATTTGTCATTGAGGTTTTGTGTTTCCAGTAGGTAAATCTTTAAATCTACGTCATTTGATGTAGCAGTAACTATGGTAGAAATTAATATGGAGGTATGAAATGTTATAATAGTTTAGGCGGCATTTTTGCATCTGTGTGCTTAGTGCGAGTTTTTTTAACGTATAAGTTAGCTCATATTTGTATGGAATGGGATCGTTTGCGTACGTTTGTCGCTAGGGGCGCTGTTCCAACTGCATACAAAATTGGCCTAACTTTTACGCTATCGAGAACGTTAAGAAACTCTCACTAAGCACACTGAACACATTTAAAGTTTAAAATTTTGAAAAAATATTATCATAACAATCATAAAAACTTCTTCAGCTAGTCGAATGGATTAAATTTAATTTGAAGTTCAATTAAAAATATCGACCTGTTGATGCTAATACCAAATAAAACGTATCTTTAATTATGTACATAGATAAATGTCGCGTATTAAGCGGAATGTCGCTTTAACCAAATAACCTTTCACCTCTCGATATGAATAGCGCTAACGAAATTTACAAGCAAAAACAACTTTTTTATTTTTTATTGGTTAGATGGGTGGACGACGGTGATGGTGTAGACCGCACCGAGATGCCTGTTGTACTCCTGGACTATTTCGCCACTCCGAACGCCCACCTGGTGTTAAGTGGTTACTGGAGCCCATAGACATCTACAACGTAAAAGCCGTCACGCACCTTGAGATATAAGTTTTAAGGTCTCAGTATAGTTACAACGGCTGCCCCACCCTTCAAACCGAAACGCATTACTGCTTCACGGCAGAAATAGACAGGGTGGTGGTACCTACCCGTGCGGACTCACAAGACGTCTTACCACCAGTAAACTGATGTCAAATCAGAAGTAGATTCTCGATTAAGTGACTTATGTCTTTATGATCAAAGTTTAAGATCATGTAGAAAGGGCTACCCATAATAGCAAGTCATCGTCCTTCTGCTATTCATTTGTAGTTTTTCAAATAATATTATTAAACTATCGACAATGAGTCTGCTTGAAACTTTAGTTCATTGACGTGATTTGCACATTCCCTGTTTCAATGTTTTTCCGATGTAGGTATGTTTTTTTAAACACACAATATCTATACTTCTATACTTCTATACTTCTATACTTCTAATATATAAAATTCTCGTGTCACGGTGTGCGTGATTGAACTCCTCCGAAACGGCTCGACCGATTTTCGTGAATCTTAGCGTGCATATCGGCCAGGGTAGAGAATCGGATAACATCTATTTTTCATCCCCCTAAATGTTAAGGGTGGACCGCCCCTGAATTTTTTATTTTTAATTTTTAGACATTTTTTTTTGTTTTTATGATACAGCATACCAAAATACATACAGCCCTAAATTTTCACCCCTCTAAGATCAACCCTTATTTTTTATTTGTTAATCCTTACACATTTACAATAAGTTAGTTTTTTTTTTCTACACTAGAAATTCCCTAGAAATCTTATATATGGCAAAACAACGTTTGCCGGGCAGCTAGTAATATATAAATCTACAGTGGTTTTTACGGATGTTCCGTTATAACTACTGAACCGTGCATCCGATTGACTTGAAACTTGGTAACCATGTAAAAAATACATATACTTCATGGATAGGCTAATATTTATATGAGTGTTGGACTCCCTACACCAGTTGCGGGGGCGTTAATGATGAGAATGTTTGTGGGGGTGAGAAATAATAATGTTAATTTTAAATGCCCAGCGAAGAAGACGGGTAGCAGCTAGTTGTTAATAAAGCGAGTTGTTCTCGTTCATTTATTTGCGGGAAAAATGGATTTCCCGCTGTTGTGTTTATTTGCCTGTTCTGTGTGCGTATACTCGAAAGTATAATTTCAAATTATGTTAAACATTTTCGACTCTATTTTCCGAATTTCCTATTGATATCTCCGATAGGCAGTCGGAAACAACACAAACAAAAATGCTAAACCTCTTAATAGATGACGTGAGACTTTAGAACTTATATCTCAAGGTGGGTGGCGCATTTACGTTGTAGATGTCTAAGGGCTCCAGAAACCACTTAACACCAGGTGAACTGTGAGTTCGTCTACCCATCTAAGCTATAAAAAAAAGATAATGTTAATGATTAACAATTAAATGTAGTTTAATCAAATCCAATAATGTTAGCCAAATTCAATGCTATGGATGTTATCGGGTTATATTAGTTTTTGTTTATAGGAGACATACGGTAAGGTTCGTTTATATTAACTATAAATGACGTCACTGTTAGTGAAGTTGCATTGAGATGAGTCTTGAAAAAGAAGCGCGCTAATAAATAAAAATAAATAAAAAAGTTAAATAAATCAAACTTATTACGGTGTTTTAAATTCGAATTTTACTTTACACGCTAAAATACGATTCATGCGCTATGATAGAAACTGAAGACTTGTTCAAACAATTCTACATATATTCTTTTGAATTTATAACCATCTATTTATTATGTTTTACGATCGGAGAAGAATATATTATCTCCGATATACAATAACACTTCGCACGTTTTTGTTACCGTCTGTTGAATTGCGAAATGTCTACATTTTTTCCTGTATTTTATTTTTCCTACCTATTCTGGTGACCTCTAGGGGTCTTATTAGATTCACCGAGCGAGTAGGTGAGCTCACGGGGCTCTAACCTGACGTCGTTGCTAACACTAGCCTTAGCCAGATTAGTGCTTCGCAGAATTTACCACCGGATCGGGAACGCGACCCACTGAGAAGATCCGGTGAGAAACTCAGTGCGCTATGTCTGTGGATTAATTTACTCGTCGAGCCCTTCGCAAGCGACGGGTTCGACGAGAACGATGACCGATGCTTGAGATACCTAAAAGCGCCGTTAGTGGATCGGGAGGATCCGAAATGACTTGTTTTTCCCCTACATAATCCTTGGTAGCTATTATAGCTACATTCCGGTAAGTAAGCTCACGAGTGACCTGAGATAAGGTGCTAATACTGCGCTTGCCCTAACAAGAGCAGTGCTTCGCTGAAACTACCCCAGGATCGGAATGGCGACCCACTGAGAAGATCCGGCCACGTGTCTTCTCTTCTGTATCGTTCCGTCACTGCTGAGGATCGCGACCACATGTGATGTTCCTCACAGTGTTCGATCATGGGTGGCATAGACCAGACTACCACCAAGTGCTTCTCTTAGTAGATCTGACCATCTGGCTGGTGTTCTGCCCACGGCGCGCTTGCCCTCTATGCGACCCGCAATTATGAGCCTCTCTAATTCATGTCTGGGTGACCGCATGATGTGTCCGAAGAAGCTCATAACACGTTCCCGGCAGATGGCAAAGAGCCTTTTTCGGATGATTAGCTGCCTTAGAATGGATTCGTTAGTTCTCATGGCAGTCCACTGTATTCGTATCATCCTCCACCACACCCACTTTTCAAAGGCATCGATCTTTTTGCCATCGCACCATGTCTCCGCTCCGTAGAGGAATATAGGAAAGACCAGTGCCCGCACCAAGCGCACTTTTATTTTATAAAACTAGGAAAATATATAACAATCTTATCCTCCTACGGTGGCATCAGCTAAGCAAGGCCGTTTAAAGTCCGCAGTGTGAATCTAGATGATCGCGCTAGAACGTTATCGATGTGTGCAGCGACCTACCTGTTGCGTCTCAGTAACACTAGATGGCGCGGTTTATCTTTTGTTCCAATTTAAATGCTTCTTGTTCTTTTTTAAGTTTGCCAATTAGCTTCTTGCAATGTCATTGTTGCCATGTAGAAGCTATAAAATAAACTTCAATTTCTAATATATAAAAGAATCATCA